ATATATATATATTGTGTGTGTGTGTGTGTGTGTGTGTGTGTGTGTGTGTGTGTGTGTTGGGTCATATAAATATTCAGCCCTGCATTTTATGTAAGTAAATGTATCAAGTATTTATTGTATGAAGCACCTGCTATGTGCCACGAATTATGGTAAGTTTCGGTGATACAGTGGTAAACAAGGTAGACCTAATCCTTGCCCTCAGAGTTTCTAGGTCTAGTGGGGAGAACAGCCAAGGATATAGAGATATGAAAGCTATTCCAAAAGAATAAGTAGCAATGCTTTGGAAGTTTAGAACCAAAAGAACTAAGCCATCATCTTGGATTGGGGAAGGAATCTATTCCTGAGAATAAATTACCCAGTAAGGATAAATGAGGAGCCCTGGCCAGTTTTTCTCAGTGGTTAGAACATCAGCCTGAATACTGAAAGGTTGAGGGTTCCATTCCAGTCAACAGCATATACCTGGGCCGCAGATTCTATCCCTGGCCCAGGCTAGTTGGTTGCATTCAGGAGGCAATAAATACCACTCTTGCTTTCGATCTCTTTCTCATCCTCCCTCCCTTTCATTGTCTCTTAAAAAAAAATCAATGGAAAAAATATAGTGAGAGGATTAATAACAACAACAACAACAAAAAGATGATTGAGGAGAGGAAGAGATGTTGAATATGGGGATCTTCTAGTAAATGGTCATAAGGCACCTCTTATTTTTTGAAAATCAAAGATTCTAAGATATTGGCTAACAAATAATTTTTATGCTATTGGAGAAACTCTGAAAGTAAGATTTTGTTACAACATGCTAAGAATGTTTAGACTGACACTTTCCAAACACAAGATTAGTGCTCTGGCTCAGATCTACCAGTCCAGGTGCCAATCAACGTCTGTGTTTTTGTGGGGGGGGGGTCCCCATTCTATTTCTGTTATCTAGCTCCACAGGTATTATATGTTATTCCCTCCCTAACCCTAAACACTCTTCCAGTTGTACCCATCAAGCATTAATACTATAGAGCACATTTCCCAAAATGTAACGTGAGTGACTGGTATAAAAAGAGATTGTTTTAGGTAGAACAAGAACAATTTTTAAAATAATCATGCATTTATTTTTACAAATTCCTTCCTTTTAAGTTAATTCAACTGATACTAGCAAGTCAATTTAAAGAACTATATTTAGTGAATAAAAGTAAAGCAACATTTAGGTAACATCGTTATTGTAGGAGTGCTCAATCTGATGATTAACCTTTCTATAGCACATATATTTCTTCATTACAATGGGAATAATAAGATCTGCTTCACTGATATTGGTGAAATAAACATGTCCTTAATTCCTACCTTAGTTTCTGATGCATGGTAAATTTTTAACAAATGATAATTTTCTTTTTTTCTTCCATTTCTTACTGCCTGTATCCCAAACTTTTTGCTGCCAATTCCTGTTTTTTTACTATTAAGGATAAAATTTAAGATATTGTCCATTGACTGCACTTCAAAATAAAAAGTTGAGATAATCTTATTATAGTACACTTATTTAAAGTTAATTTTGATATATACATAGATATGTAGCGATAGATACAGATATATGTCAATACAAAAAGAAGTGTTAAAAGACTGGAAATCCTTTTTTTATACTAGTGATCATCAGGCATAGAGCTTTAATATTTTGATAAAGATTATTTGATTGAATGTGAATTTGTCATGTTTTATTTCTCTCTAGGTGTAAAAGGAGAAAGAGGGGCTTTTAATCTAGAAAAGAGGTTGGCTGTCAGCTTCACCATTCACTAGCTTTGTGACCCTGACCATAAACTGGATCCTCTGGGCCTGGGATTCCTCATCTAATGATACCCACTACCTTACAAGGCTGTTTAGAAAGTAGAGACAATGTCTGTGAAGCATGAAAACCCACTTTGCTTTGAAAAAAAGTACTAATTATTATAGTTATTATTTTCAAGATTATCTACTGTTCATGACAAAACTATATAAATATCTCATTGTAGAAAAGATGCTATTACTCTTAACTCTATTCATGAGAAAAGAAAAACCCTAAATTAGTTTTTTTAATCTCCGAAATAATATCAGAATTCAATTACAGATAACAGAAACTATTCTTACTATTTTAAGCAGAAAGAATTTTTATACAAAGAATAAATATAAACATTTTATACTTATCACCCCTGGAAGGTCTGGAGAAGCAAGCAGGTTCTGAGCCCAGCCATCAGAAGGACAATATAAAACAAGCCAAACTGGGAGAGAGGCTGACCTCCGGAAAGAAGCAGCAGGAGATTAGGAAATGGGCCCAGCAGATGTTGGTTCTGGGAAGAGGTATATGCCATCAGGGGCAGGCAGCCAGGCCATCGTGCTGGGCTCTAGAATAGGGCTGCTACATAAAGCACAGGACACCGATTCAGATTTGTATTTCAGGTCAGCAACAAATAATTTTTAGATTAAGTGTATCTCATGCAATGACAAACTTATACTAAAAAAAAAAAATGTTGTTGATCTGAAATTCAAGTTTAACTGGGAATCATGTGTTTAACTGGGGCCCTGGATTACTCCTCCTTTATCTGAAATTCAAATTCACCTGGATGTGCTGTATTTTAATTTTATAAATCTGACAGCAACAGTCTAGCCACCCAGAGCCTACTGTCATAGTAGCAGCTGAAGGTGGCCTTGCATGATGCCGCCTGAAGTCAATCTCAGCATTGTGTCAGGTTAGCAGAAACTAAATCACATGGTGAATGCTGGCTACAAGGACATTTGGGAGACAACTCTTGGCTTTTATTCTGTGTATGTAGAAGACAAGCAAGAAATATGAAGGAATATATGAAAAGTAGACAATTCATCATAATAGCTACACAGTAACTGAGTATTGCATTTGTAATGTATTTTATATTTAGCAGATTCATGTGTCTTGAGCATGTCACTTTCCAGTCATTTAAACAAAAAAGAAACAATACTGTACTAAACAAAAAAGACAAACCTCTCACAGAGCTAAAATTTTAGTAAAGAAAAAAAAATTAATACAACTACAAAAATATAATTAATATAATTAACAAAAACCTGTAAATTACAGAAATACATAAAATTGAAAGTATGTTATCTATAATCCTACCATTTCTTCTTCCATCTTGATACCAAAAAAAGTAAAATTCTCCTTATCCTTTTCTCCCTCTGATTTTACCTTGCTGAGATTAGTAAAGGCTGTGTGTGTGTGCTTGCACATATATTGTAAATAAACTAAACTAAGTCCTACCATGGTGGGAAGTACAAAGGCTCAGTTGTCTGCTGTCACAAAGCTAATTAGGAAAAGACAAAATCCAGACATCTCTTTCCTCTTCCCTCGGGGTCCTCGGAGCCTGATTCAGCTCCCATGTCCTTCTGTAAGTCCGCATCCCCGCTCTATCCGCCTCCTTCACCCCGTGGACCTGCGCCTTCAGAGAAGACGGAGCCAGAATGGAGCACATACAGGACAGAGCAAACCTTTTTCTGGAGAGTGCTGGTCATTCTTCCTATGTCCAATGTTTACCTGTCGATGCTAAAATAGTCCATCAATGTGAGGACGGAGGGAGAGAAGGGAATAAAGGGGTCGCTCTCCCTGCCCCACTCTCACCTTCTGTCTCACAGGCCATGAAGTCTTAACTCCTTGAGTTTTGATATCTTGTTCCTGCATGTCTGACTCTGACAACATGACATGCTTCCCACCCGTTTCTGCTCCAGCCCTTCCCCAAACATGCTTTTTTACTTTCCCACTTCTGTATCTCTGTCCTGACACCAGTCAGCATGGGAAGACCTGTCTGTTTGACACCCCTGCCCATGGGCCTTGGTGCTGCCCAGGATCCAGCTTCAGTGCCCCTTCCTTAGAGTGAGGGCGCAGGGAGCAAGGCAGGGAAGGGGAAGCTCACAGAGGGTGTGCCAGGAGGAGGTCATATGGTGGGCGACGATGGCGGGATGGGGACGCCCCAGAGAGCCAGAGGCCAAGAAGTGCAGATCCAGGAAAGCAGAGCGGTGACAAAGGGAACAAGGAGGGAAGGAAGAAGCACTAATGCACGGTAAGTTGTGAAGCTGGCTTCCATAAGTGCCACCTGATTGCTTCTTCTCCCAGTAGGAACCAGCGGGAGGCTGTATAAACTACGTGTCTCAGGACACCCCACCAGCAGATGGGAGGGAGAAGAATGTACCTACTACCCTGTTTCCCCGAAAGTAAGACAGTGTCTTATATTTATTTTTGCTCCCAAAGATGTGCTAGGTCTTATTTTCAGAGGATGTCTTATTTTTCGATGAAGAAGGATACCCTACATATTTATTGTTAAATGAAAATAAAAGAAATTTATTACCTGTATACAGTACAGCAGTACGGTAGTTGTCAACACAAACCAGACAAACTGTGAATCCTACAGTATCAAGAATTTACTCATTTATTCAGTGACAACCATGTCATCATCTTCTGGAACATCATCATAACAATCCAATTCCTGAATTTCCTGGTGAATTTCTTGTGACTCCATTTCTTTCAGAATCAGTGGACCAAATCTCTCGTGTTTAGCAATAGCACTGTCTTTAAATGAGTACTTCTTGTCAAGGTAGCCTGCTCTCAGTGCATTTGCAATGCAACTGTCAGTGATTTTCTCCCATGAATTCTTCACCCAAGTCACAACTTCTTGCAGTTTAGGTTTCACAAAGTTTCCATACTGATTTCTCTCCATTCTATTTTCAATGTAGTCATTAATTTCCATGCACAAATTGTCTTTGAATGGCTTGTTTATTGCAATATCAAGAGTCTGGAGATAGGCCATCATTCCTGTGGGAATCATTATCTGATCTATTTTTCTTTTGTGAAGAAATGTCTTTAGTGCGGTGAGTGCTGGCTGCATCCCAGACTGGCAGACCTCTTTGGCTCCCTCGCATAGCAAGTAGCAGCATTAAATCAACCCACTTTCTTATAACTGCTTGTGTGGCCCAGCCTTTTTCAGTTTCAAGAATAAAAACGCCCAAAACACGTTCAATCTTTTCCTTCTTGCCCTTAGAAATGATTAAAGGTGGGATTTTAGTGCCATCCAGACGAATTGCCAAAATACAGAAATCATGTGCACTTTCATAAGCAGTGGAGGGAATGTACACTACGGAGGCACCCCGCTGTTCAATTGTTGTTTGAGATGATTGGCCCATAAACACTGCAGTTTCATCCATAGCAATCATGTTGGAAAGAATGTATTTAGAGAAGTCAGCATCATAAATAAAGGACTTGAATGCAAGTGCTCGCTTAATAACTTGAGTATCTTCCAACCTAAACAATGTTGTAGATCTTCTTAAAGACAGTTCACTTCGCTGAAGGAAATTATCCAGCCAGTGTTGTGATGCTCTGAAGTCTTTGGGGGCTATTCAAACTGTGGTGCTATTGCAGGGCAAATTCTTGAATCTGAGCCCTATTCACAACCAAAGCCTTTGCTCTCCTGTCAACAACCCATTCACAGATCAGGTCTTCCAGCTGGGAAAATAATGGTTGCCAACCTGATCCACACTTGCGCTTTTTAGCATTTCCCTTGTCCACTTGTTCAATGAGGTTACCATACTCTGCTCGCCATTTTCGGACCAATCAGATACTCAACATCTTCTCTTTGCAGAAAGCAGTAAGATTTTGGCCACAAGAGTCTTCCACGATTCCTTTCTTGTACTTCACAGAGTAGCTTTTTCTTTTTGCGCTCATTTCTAGGGGTAAAAAAAAGGAATTGGGGTATCAAGGTAGGGGGAGAGGGATCACTTAAAATGACACGGGGGGATCAGAGGGGGGATCAAAATGGCACAGGAGAATCAGAGGGGGGATAACCATTTTAGTAACCCCTTTTGATCCTCCTGTGTCATTTTGATTGCCCCCTCTGATCCTCCTGTGTAATTTTAAGTGATCCCCCTCCCCCCACCCTTGTGCTACTGAACACCTTCACCAGACATCCCCCTTTCCCCTTTATCAACATTTACCCCCTGGGGCCTGTCTGGGGACTGTCACTGGGCTTGCTGGGGCCTGGATCTGAGCTGGAGCAGGGTCTGCCACTGACTAAGAACCTTCAGTCATCATGAGGGCGGCCACGAGCATCAGGTAGTGTCACTAGAGATAGACCAGCACTCAGCACCTTTGCTGCCTCCTGTCAGCTCTAATTCTCCTGTTCTACACGCATCTGCGAATGTCTCCTCTCTCCCGCCCCGCGCTCACCTCTCACTCCGACCTCCGCTATGTCTCCACACATCAGTGACGTCAGGACTCCGAGTAACATAACTGATTGCTAGACGCCAGTCGGGGCGGCCCTAGTGACCAGTTTACAGTAAATTAATTTTCATTCTGAGACAGATCCTAGGGGGCTTTATTTTCGGGGGATGCCTTAAATTTCACTCAGAAGGAAACCTGTAAGTAGGTCGTATTTTCGGAGGATGTTTTATTTTCAGGGAAACACGGTAGCTCCTTTCTCCCATCGCCAAAGGCTCATTTGACAGGGACTTGGGGCTGCTGCACGTCCACAGTGCACTTGGTTGGCCATGGAGAGAACCCGCAGCAGAGGCCTCAGCATTAAGTGATGCCCAGGGGTAGGTGAGAACGGTGTGGCTGTGCCTGAGAGGAGGGGCTGTCTGTGGATGAAGAGGTTGGTCTGAATCTCATCTGAGGCTGGGGCTGAAGAGACTGGGGTAAGTGAGAGCAAGAGGATCTGAGCAGCTTATGGGATGTGTGCTTGATTCACCAATCTGAAGTAACCCACTGAAGAAGACATGGACCCACATATCATGTCAAGAAACTTTTCTGAAGAATGTGAAGCATCACCACATTGAAAATCCATGCTTTCCATTGTGAAAATCTGGCACATCAAACTAAAATCAAGTGAAGCTCAGTGGAAGAGGAATTCTTTCCCAGAATGCCCGATCTCGGTGAATACAGGTCTCTGGGGAGCTGGAGAGGTACCGGGAGAATGAAATGAAAAAGGAAACTAAATTGAGTGAAGCAAGTCGGAATGAGCTCAAAGTCAGAAGACCTTGTTACTCGCAGTAAGATTAAGAGGTTCTCTGGTTCACTCAGCAGCAGATAGTCTATAAAAAATTTTTAGCTGTTTTAACTTATTTTTATTTGCCACCTACTATGGAGCACTAATTGCAAGGGTATGTTTATGAATTTACATTAAAGTAGAGGGAACACTCTGCTCAGAATCTTTATAGGTGCTGTACTGGAAGGGAGGGAACATTAAGAAAATGGAATGTGTTTATCTGTTGGAAGAATGTGAGCAGTAGGAGAAATACAAGCCTGAATAGACATTACTTAAAGGAGGAGAGAGAAAATGCACATGAGTTCAATTTCTTTATAGTCATCAGCTCTATATTTATTTTTAAATCTGTATTCCATGGAATTTAATTGTGAGTAGATATTAATAAAATGGTTAACACTTTTTCTACAATCATGCAGTAATATTTCTAAAGGAATTATTTTACTTTAAAGAGAATATTTGAAGTGTTGAACATTCCCATTTAAATTCTGCACCCAATGAAGAAATTCAATTATTGAGTTTTTCCATATAGGCAAAAAAAAAATGATCTAAATGTTTTAAAATTAATATAGAGCATAAATATGTTGTTAAAATGCTTTAAAGGATTATAGAGAAGACTAAACATAATGAGTACAATAGTGAAGATAGTACAACTTTGTTTTATACAACAAATACTTTTCAATTTCTGGCTTAAGAGCTCTGTAAACTGCTTCAGAAACCAGTCTATGTAATCATATCATTTGGCATATTCTTGAAGATCAAGTGCTTGGTTATAGTCAGCCATAGCTTCCTCTATCACACCTATTTTACCACGAACTTCTGCTCTAAGATTATATATCAGAGCATCATTAGGATTCAAAGACAGAGCTGTAAAAAGAAAAAATGCAAGATGTGTTTTATGCTAATACTCAAAAGGTCTCAATTTTTAGAATAAAAATCTTATAACAACTTTAGTATTACTTGTTTAAAAACATTTTCTTCACATGCACCTATTTAAATTTAAAATATTGAATCTTTCTTAGAAAATTAAATTGGGGGAACACTACAATGTCTTTCTTTGAAAGGCTACCAATGTTTGTATATAGTTTCCCTAATAACTTTCTGCATTTTAACTTACCAATACTGCAAGTTATTACATAAAGGAACCCATATTGCTTACATTAAAGACATGGTATATAAAAACATTAATTTCTAATGTAAGTTTTTCTAGACAAATAAATCTGGTAGGTTTGTTATTTTATTATTTAAAAAACACATCAACCACTGTAATCTTACCCAAAACATTAAAAAAAATTTACCTTTACTTAGGTCTTCCTCAGCTAATTCATATTGCTTTAAACAACAGTAGAACTGTGCTCTATTAAAATATGCTGCAGCCCAAAAGGGACAGTTTTCAACTATATTTGCAAAATCTTCTTTTGCTTCTTCATACTTCTTTAATATTGTATTTGCAATAGCTCGATTCATGGCAGCACATTCATTTTCTGGATCAAACTGTAAAGCCTTTGAGAAGTAGTCACTGGCCTATAAAAATATGAAGATAATGATAATTTGACTACAATTTAATTGGCAGCTATACAGAAATTTGAAGTATTTTACTCTTAATATAAAATTAAGGCCAATGGCATTTCCAGGGGATTCTGGAAGCATTTCATCCCAGACTCAGGTGATAAGAAGGTACGTTGTCTGTAGAGAATGCAAAAAACAGTAATAAAACTGGCCAACAGTTGGTCTGCTTTTTGTTATTACCATAAGTAGACAATTCTAGACAACATCAGTGATGAAGGAGATTTGACCATGCAATGCAATATACAGATGATGTATTATAGAACTGCACAGTTAAAACCTATATAATCTTAACCACTGACACCCCAATTAATTTAAGTTTTTAAAAAAATAAATACTCTACTAAGGTGAAATGTTTCACTGCCTTACCACACCCCATAAATCCCACATCACTGCATAGCACAAAAAAGGTAAAATATAAATTAGAAAATAAGGTCCCAATAAGAAGATAAAAGGATATTAGAAAATTAACACTTTTCATATAAAAGCAGAGTATCTAAGAGCTAAAGAGATAAATTTTGAAAATAACATTCTGAACCATATTAAAAAGGGACTAAAAATTCAGTTATATTATGAAAAGTTATAAGGAAGGATTAGAGAAGATAAACACCAGCTTGTCAAGAAGATCAAAAACTCATCATCAAGCTGGAAGGACCCTTTCAAGTGTGGTCCATATACCAGTACTGGAGTATTGATCAACAACAAATGAGAAATTTAAAAAAGAAAAAAACTGGTCCTTCACCACAAATGGCTTGAGATGCAGATTAGACACCCTACATTGAAGGTAAGAATCTCTTCTCTAACTCCATGATGGATGACAATCTGGCTCCTACTTTAGACTTCCCTAAAGAAAAACTCATTTTCCACAATAGAGCTTGCTCTCTCCAGTTCCTTACCACTTGATTTTCCCCCAGCACCACAATCTGGCTTCCATCTACCTCTCCCTCTTCCCTGAGTTTGCTCTTATTAAGGTGGAAGATGACCTCAAGTCCAATGGTCATTTTCTAGTTATTTTCTTCCATGACATTTCTGTGGCATGAACACTCTTAACCTCTCCTTCCTTCTTAAAAATCTCTCTGTCCTTCAATCAGGGTGACCCCCCGTTTTTCTCCTAGCTTGCTGATCACTTTCTGTCAGTGCCCTTCACGGAACTATTTTTCTCTGTTTCTCTGGGATTTTTCCTCAGTTCACTTCTATCATTAGTGAAAGGAAATCCTGATAGCATGGTCAGGAGCCCAGACCATGGAGCCAAATTTCTAGGTTCAAATCCTGGCTCTACTATCTCTGCTTTTAGGTAACTAAAGCTCTCTTTTCCTCAACTTTTCACATCTGTAAAATGGAGGTAACAAATATATATCTATGACCAGTGCTGCTATGAGGGTGAAGTGTGCTAATAATAAGTATTGAGAATGATATGCAGAATTTAGTAAGGACTAAATTATTATTGATATTAGAGGCCTGGTGCACAAAATTCACGCATGAGTAGGGTTCCTAGGCCTGGCCTGTGATCAGGGCTGACCGGAGCCTTCCTTCATTCTTCACTGTCCCCGGTGGTCAGCACACATCAGAGAGAGTGATCGAACTCCTGGTCTCCTGGTCAAACTCCTGAGGGGACACTTTGCATATTAACCATATATATAATTTTTCCCTGTGTCTACAAATGACCATACATCGTAGCCTTCAGGCAATACTCCATGAATTTGGCCGCCTATGACTTTTGAGAGGCAATTAGATCAAGATTTTGTAACCCATCTCATCCCAGAATGGCAGCTCTTCTATGCTGCAGTTAAGTGCGATTGAGGATGTTAAGATGGCAACAGAAATGGCTTCCTGTGAAAAGCTTAAAGAGAATCTACTCCTGAACAGAAAGCTGGACTCACAATCATCAGAAATTAGGCAAGGGAATGACTCTGAGCAGGGATAAGACTTCCTTCAAAAAGCAATTTAGGCCCTGGCCTGTGTTACAGTGTTGGCCCACACACCAAAGGGTCTCAGGTTCCATTCCCAGTCAAGGCCTGTGCAGGAGGCAACCAATCTATGTGTCTCTCACATCAATGTTTCTCCCCTCAACCATCTTCCCTCTCTTCCACTCTCTCTAAAAATCAATGACAAAAATATCCTCAGGTGAGAATTAACAACAACAACAAAAGCAATTTAGGCTTCATCTTAATTCATCAATAAATGATTAATAAAGGCAATACAATTATACATCACCAAAGCAAAACTTCAGTCAGGAAGGAGTAAATGCCTACCACAGCTAAAAATATCGATAATAGAATTTAGTAAAACACAATGTGTGCCTAACTTTGAACAATCTATCTTTTTATTAAAATTTCCAAAATATATTGTTCAAAACTAGAGACCTGGTGCACAAATTCATGCACATTGAAAATAAATTAACTAGAAGAAATATTTTAGAGGTTGGGGAGGGACTGCAGGCAGTTGGCTCCAGGGCATGTCCAGCCCATCTCCCCCAGTCCTGATTGGGGTCCATCAGGGCCATCTCACCCAGTCCCCATCAGGACCAATCAGGGCTGGCCAGCCAGGGAGGGGCTGTGGGAGGGCTCCAGAGCATGTCTGGCCCATCTCACCCAGTCTCGATTGGCCAGACCCCAGCAGCAAGCTAACCTACCAGTCTGAGCATCTGCCTCCAGGTGGTCAGTGTGCATCATAGCAACTGGTCAAAGGGTAGAATGAATGGTGGACCAATCAGTCAGACACTTAGCATACTAGGCTTTTATATATATAGATAGGAAAGCTTATACATTTAAATAGGATTTTTGAAGTAGAGAAATATTAACTATGAATTAGAGGCCAAAAACACCAATCACAATGGATGGCCTTGATTTTTTAACAATTGTTCCAATGCCCTTATAACTGTAATTAATTAGAAAGCAGATCCAATTACTTTTTAAAGTCACCTATAATTCACAATGCATACACAAACCTCATCCAAAGTGGTTTAAAAGCACTAAATGACTAATTAATGATTAAAGTTGTCAAAATGCATACATGTTTCAACCCTCTAGAGATTATTTGCTCTGTTGAAGGACCCTTTCTCCTGACCATAAATCTTTCCAGTAGAGTCAGAAACCAAGGTAAGAGGCCTGGAGCATAGTAATATAGCTGAATGACTATATTAAAGTGTGTATGTCTTTAATAAAGCCCAATCATCCAATTCATCAAGACAGAGGGCTACATACATTTCAGATAAAATATTTTCCCAGCAAATGTATCCCCAGTTTTTAAGAAAGAACCATAAAAATATACTACTATGTCAAAGTACACTTCAGATCTAACCAAAAATGTCACACATGATGCCCAGAGTGATTAAAGACAAATACGTTTAGAAAAATGTAAAAGTCTCCTTCTCATGTGGATCTTAAACATTTAAGGAAACAGAAAATTGCTGTGGGCATTTTAGTTGTCTTCATCTCATTAACTAACTACATTCTGTAAAGAAACATTGGTAGGACCTAGCCCAGGTGTCGGCAACCTGCAGCTCCAGAGCCGCACACGGCTCTTTTGAAGCTTTACCGCGGCTCCGACAACTTGCAAGCCTGTGTGAAAATGAAGGTTACGTCTTACAGCCCTGATGTGCTGACACTGTGCACTGAGGTTCAGGAGCAAAAATCCCATTAACCAGGTAAATTAAATATTTTAATTAGCTATTAATTTGCAAAAATATATTTTACATTGTTAAGTGAAAAAGTCCTTTTTTTCTTCAGATTGACAGCTAACTGCGCGATCCAGTATATAGCATTAAGGTAAGAAACAATATATGCAGTGTTATATTTGTTTTAAATGTCGCAATGGTTTTGCGGCTCCCAGGTTTTTTTTCCTTCGGAAACGGGTCCAAGTGGCTCTTTATGTCTTAAAGGTTGCAGACCCCTGACCTAGCCAGACAATGGTCTGAGTTTGATGAAGTTTAAGTCAATTGACTCTGGCTTGTCAGCCTAGGGCCATTGTTGGCAAGCTGTGGCTCTCAAGCCACATGTGGCTCTTTGGCCCCTTGAGTGTGGCTCTTCCACAAAATACTACAAAACGGGCGAGTCTATTTTGAAGAAGTGATGTTAGAAGAAGTTTCAGTTTTAAAAATTTGGCTCTCAAAAGAAATTTCAATCGTAGTTCCGTTGATATTTGGCTCTGTTGACTAATGAGTTTGCTGACCACTGGCCTAGGGAAATATTAGCCTCCCAGCTGTCCACTGAGGCATCAGCTACAAGTCTCATTCATGCTTTACAGAATTATACTTTCAATAGTTCTCTGTCCAAGCACCTAGCTTCACCACTGAAGTCAACCCGGCTTACCACAGGGATCAGCAAGCTGTTCAGGGTCATGATCTAACTTAGGAAAGAATAAGAGCTAAACAAGACAATGTCAGAAGACACAGAATGAAAGGGATAAGTCTGGGGGGTGGGGGGGGGGGTGGGGGGGGGGGGGGGGAGGTTAGCAAAATTGACAATTATATTGAGGAGAGGAAGAGACAGTCATGGTTGATGCTGGTGTTTTTACCAGGATGATTTTATGAAAAATGACATCTTATGTTGAGAGAAGATTTATATGAAAAATCACTGGACTGGGGTGGAGGATATAGAAATTCTGTTTTGGCCTAATGCACTTGTAAAATATCCAGATTTAGCAACTGGTGACAAAAATGGGTTAGGAGCTCAGAAGAAAGGTGGAGGCTGACATGCAGTCTAAACCATGGGTACAGACAAGCTTTCTGAATAAGAAAATCTAGGGGGAAAAAGAAGGGCTTTGATTCCTGGCCCTCCGAGCTTGTAATCTAATTGGAGTGAGAAGATAAGAGATCAACATACAGAGACAAGTGTGGAATGACACAAAATTGAATATGTATAGAAAGAATTGTTTACAAATCAGTACAGAGTCAAGATCTCATTCTAAATTCATGACCACAAACCTCAAATGACAGCTTAATGTTTGATAACTATGGATGGTGCCAGGTGGGGGGATTGCTTCTTAAATTCTATAAATGTCTAAACACTATGCTATACACCTAAAGCTAATAAAAAATATTGTCATTGGTAATTGAAAAAAACTTTAAAGAAAAAAAAAAAAAGAATTGTGCCCTGAAAGACAAAAATACAGCTTAATCTTTTCTGCTACATTTCCTAGTGTGTTCACCCTACCACTCTCTAACACAAGCATTTCGCATTTTCTCTACCAAACTCCTAGCCACCCCGTTTTTCTTTATGACTGTCCACCCTCAACCAATAACTAATACTTGTATTCCAAGGAGGGACTATAATCAGTAAGAATGCCTACTACCAATATTTACCAAACTATAGTCAGCTGTGCCCTGACTCTCTGCCTTCCCTCATGACATAATGCATCGTGCATCCTGCTGCCCCTGCAACTTCCAAACTCTAACCCCATCAAATTCTCAAAGACTTGCAGCCTAATTGTCCCTGCCACTCTCCTGCATCTATAACTTCTACCTTTCTCCTAGATCCTTCTTATTAACATGGAAGCATGAATCAATTAGTGCTCATCTGAAAAACAACAACACTTCTTAACCCACTCTAGCTATCATACTACCCCATTTTACTTTTTCATAGAAGAATGTCTTGAACCAGTGGAACAGCCCCTAATTCTTCACCTCACATTCCCCCCAACCCTTCCCACTCAAGCCTCTGCTGCACTGCTGTTCCAGCAATGTTCTTGCCAAAGTTCTCAATGATCTCATCCACCCTCCTCGTCCCTGACATCTTGGCAGCATTGGACACAGGGCACTGTTCCCTTCTCAAAACTCTTATTCTTGAGAGTGACATGCTCTCCTGCTTATCCTGGCTGTATACTCCTGCCTCAGTCTACTTTCTGGCCTCTCATTTCTGCTTCACTTCTAAACATTGGTTCTCCCCAGGACCTGCTCATTAAACCCTTTCTCTTCATCTATACTAGTTACCAAGTAATCTTATAAGGTCTCACAGATATGCTAATGCCGATGTAACAATGCTTAGGTGAGACTGTATTAGGCATGTATTGCTTCAAATATTTTCTTATTCATTTTCTTTTAAACTACATCATAAGAGAATCCTTTCTTACCTTGTTCAGCACTGTATTCTCAAGGCGTTTATAAGTGCCTATCATATGGCAGGTACATATGAATATGTGGAGATTGAAAGAATGAAAAGCTAACTGAAAACAGGAAATTCTTGCTGAATTTTTTCAGCAAAATATAGATAAGAAACAGCCTCTTCACACATAAAAACCTCAAGGTTCATTTTATTAAGAAGTGTGGTTTGGCTCAGTGGATAGAGCATCGGCCTGTGGACTGAAGGGTCTCAGGTTCGATTCCAGTCAAGGGGCATGCTCGGATTGTGGGCTCAATCTCCAGAAGGGGACTTGCAGGAGGCAGCTGATCAATGACTCTCATCATTGATGTTCCTATCTCTCTCTTTCTCCCTCCCCCTCTTCCTTCCTCTCTGAAAGCAATAAAAATATTTTTTTAAAAAAGTATAGTGTCAGTTTTGAGTGGTGAAGGAGAATATAAAAGTGACAGGTCTCTAAAAATGCAGGCAATAAAGCAAGTTTTTAAATGAGCACATTATTTTAGAAGACAAGGACTGTGAAAAGCTCAGAGAAACACAGACTGTGTGGTAGCCTTCCAAACCAATATAGGCTTGGAAGGTCATATTATAAAATCCTTTACTATAGCATCAGAGGGAGCCCAACTTGCCAACTTACTACGGCCCGCCCTCCTATTTCCCACAAGAACCTCTGCTACCGTATAAGAGAAGAAAAATAATTTATTACATTCAAATATGAGTAACAGAAAGTAATTCACCTGCCTTCATGGCAAAAACAAAGATGAAAGTAACTTAATTTTTTTAAAGTAAAAACTCTCCAGAAAAAAAGGACTGCTAGTCTCAGTGGTCGGCAAACTCATTAATCAACAGAGCCAAATATCAACAGTACGACGATTGAAATTTCTTTGGAGAGCCAAATTTTTTAAACTTCAACTTCTTCTAATGCCACTTCTTCAAAATAGGCTCACCCAGACCATGGTATTTTGTGGAAGAGCCACACTCAAGGGGCCAAAGAGACACATGTGGCTCATGAGCGTCTGTTTGCCGACCATGAGTCTAGATTAAGATTATAATGTAGCATTTTTAAATGAACTAGAAAAAAATTCATTATAGAATCAATTGCGTTTAAGAAAAAAGTAATTCAGAAACAAAGGGTCTCAGAAAAGGCATGGCCGATAAGGTCTGACACGGAAACAAACAACAAACAAAAATCCTAAAGAGAACTTGAATTCTAAGGTCTACAAGGGGACAATAAATACATATCTAAAAAAAAAAAAAAAACATGGAAGAAGGCAATAAAAATGAAAAAGAAATTAAGAGCTTTAAGAAATGAGAAAAAATAGTTAATATATAGAAACTAAAGGACAGGAGATAAAGTTGCCCAATGAAGAAAATCAAAACCATGAAATTTTCAAAAATCAAAACCATAAAGTTTTCATTGAATTCAACAAAACTTTTCTGAAATCTACATTTGGAAGCATACTGTGTGCTTGTTAACTTTGACACCAATGGTCAACTCTAAGGCATGCACTGTTAAAACTTTTCATTAAAAAAATTTGGTTATCCTAACAAAGAGTCACAAATAACAAAAATTGAATTGTATCCAAGCTTCTTGACATCAACCTACAATTTCAAAAACAGTGAAACAACACAAGATACTCAAGGAGGAAAAAAAAAAAGAGTCAAGGGTTTTAAACCCAAACATGTCTCCTTAAGATATCAAAGCTAGAGGCAAACAGTGATGAACATGAAAAAATCCAAGGAACACTGTTCACATGAGCCCTTTCTCAGAACTCTATTAAAAGGACCAACTTCAGGCCGAGACCGGTTTGGCTCAATGGATAGAGCGTTGGCTTGGGGACTGAAGGGACCCAGGTTCGATTCTGGTCAAGGGCATGTACCTTGGTTGCGGGCATATCCCCAGTGGGGGGTGTGCAAGAGGCAGCTGATCGATGACTCTCTCTCATCGATGTTTCTAACTCTCTATCTCTCTCCCTTCCTCTCTGTACAAAATCAATTAAAAAATATATTAAAAAATAAAAATAAAAAATAAAAAAATAAAAGGACCAACTTCAGACAACCAAGAAATGATTGGTTGGGATGGAAACTGGCAAAAAACCTGGTAATGAAAAGTGAATATACTTAACTGGAAAACTAAGATGAACATTTGAAATAAGAGTAACAAAATGTACACAAATATTAAATCCTTTGGCAGTATAGGAATTATGGAACTCACAAGACAATGGGAGAACACTGACAGTGGAAAGTAAGCTGATACAATAAACTCAAGCATATTTAAGAATACAAATAGAAAAAAATGTAAAAGAGTATACTATTAAGTAAAATTCAATAATAGATGAGAGGGAGAGAAATTTATTGTTGTTCATAGTAGAGAAACTAAAAATACAAGGAAATTAGAGTATAGAACTGCTATTATAAAGGTAGTCACTAGGGCAAAACTGTAAATTTCTCAATATCAGAAAAAAAAATTAAACAAACCGCAGAATAAAATTCTTCTAAAACACATGAAAGCAAAAATAATAGACCAAAAACATATTGATTATGCTAAAATGAAAATGGGCTTAACCCACCTATTAAAAGATAATTATTTTCAAATTGGCTTTTTTCTCTTTTTTTAAAAAATAATTCTTTATTGTTGAAAGTATTCATATGTACCCCTTTCCCCCCATTAACCCTGTTCAGCAAGCCCACCCCCAAGCAAAATCCAACTCTATGCTACATAAGAGACACATCTAAAACAAAAGATTCTAAATGTTGAAAATAAAAGGAAGGACAAAGAAATATCAGACAAAAGCAAATCAAATGGAATCAGAGGTCAGATCTGAATTATTCCAAAGAGCTTTAAAAAACAAAGAAGGGAATTTATAATGCTGAAGGTTACAATATATAGTGTATATATAATATGTATTAACATGTATACAAGAAATAATACAGCAGCAATTTTCATAAAGCAGAAATTATAAGAAATTATAAAAAAATCATATAGAACCAAACCAATGACATGATACTTAAATAAACCTCAGTCCAAGATCAACCAAATAATAAAAAAAAGAATGGCTATTGACTAATTAAAAATATAATTAATAAGGTATATCTTATACTTCTTTGAAAAGAACCCTTTAATATGTTTCAATACTTGCCATATATTAGACCACATTAAAACTCAATTAAGAACCAAAATTAGAAAATATAAAAGCCTTTCCATCTTGACATTTCAAATGCCTTATTAAGTTATTATTGAGTCAAAAGGGAAATAAAATTACAAATGCAAAATTTTGGGAAAACAAAAATTGAAACTTCAAAACACAAAATATGTAGGATACTGCTAAAAGCAGTACTTGGAGTGTAGGCATAGCCATAATAATTTATCACAATGGAAATGAAAGGGTGGCAATAAATTATTAGCTTCTGACTCAAAAAGGTAAAGAATGGATAGTAAGTCCAAAATAATGTTTGCTGGACAAATGTTGAATGGATGGTGATAATGAGGAGAATAAATCCAGAGAGGTTAAACATTTAACTAATTATAAACCATTCTTATGAAGGACAACATTTGTTTAAAAAAGAACTAATGAATGATTAGCCTAGGATATAAGGACTGAATTTCAAAACTATATATAACAAAGAAAGCATTTCATGTAAAAAGAAAATGTTAAAGAAAACTCACATTACCTGGGAAAACTGCCTGTGGTGAAAGTAGATATTTCCTGCATTAAAGTAAGCCAGTGCATAGGTAGGGTTTAGAGAAATTGCTGCTTGATAGTCTTTCATTGCGTTTTGTTTCTGACCCATAAACTCATGAATCACACCACGATTTGTTAAGAATTCTGCTGTAGCATTGATCTGCAATTTAATAGTATGAGTATTTAGCATCTGGGAATAGTATTTATCTCCGATTTCATAACTGTAAAAATGAGCATTATGAAATCTACTTGTGGGAAGCTAGTAACTTTATAGTTCAGGTGAAGCCCTGTTAGAGCAAATATTTCTGAGAGGACTTGGTATAAGTTGGCTCAATGTCAACACTTTGTTGATTTTGGTTATAATAAAATAAATAATCTTAGTGCTTTACTCAGTTTCTTTCCAAAGAACACGGGGGAAAGCTTATCTGCTTAGCTCTGTTAAGGCTGGAAAAGAAATTAAATAGTTAACATGTTTATTTGTCCTAAGAAGCAGCAATTATCTTTCAGGTCTTTCCTTCTTCTCACCTGAAAGATTACAATATTTACCTGAAACTACAAAAACAGAATCCAAAAATCTGGGGGGGGCGGGGGGGGGGTAGGGGGGAAGGGAGAGAAGAGGAAGATTTTCTTTCATTGTATACAAAACCTGAGGTATTTATTTGCTTTTTCACTACAGAAGAATCTGGAGAATTACATTATTCTTTCTGTAGTGCCTTCAAACCCAGAGCAATATTTTTTTGCATTCATTTTTTTATTACAAAAACTAGAAGCCCAGTGCACAGATTCATGCACATTGAAAGTGAATTAATTAGAAGGTGGCTGGCAGGATAAGACGGGCCAGACACGCCCTAGAGCCAGCTTCCCTCGGTCCCTCCCCAGCCAGCTGCACCTGGAGCAGCACTGAGACTTGGAGGGCATCTGCGAAGTGAGCGGGGTCCCTCAGGCAGGTGGGCTCCTTCTGCCTGGCCTGTGGAGATCAGGCCGAAACCGGCAGTCCAACCTCCCCTGAAGGGTCCAGGAGTGTGAGAGGGCACTCTACAAAGTTGCTGTTGTTCCGCAGGTTCTGCGTTGAGCATCTGCCCCCTGGTGGTCAGTGTGCACCATAGCTACTGGCCCGTCTCTTAGGCTTTTATATACAGGCAGTCCTCTGGATACCTTGGACTCAACTTATGTCATTTCTTGCTTACATCACCATCTCTCATTTACAGTGTTTATACATAAAAAAAAAAAAAGTTCTGTCATTTTGACATATGTACATATGTGCTTTATGTTTTTTATAATTTATTTACCACAAGTAAAGGTCAGGAATTATCTTTCTCTTAAATTTTTTTTTACTGTTTCACTTGATTACTGCTGTGTATGTGCTCCATGTGAGTGATGTAGGTGCTTATGTAGGTGGGGTCCCACTTACAGCGAAAATCAAGTCACGTCGGGCTGTAGGAACAGATCTCCAATGTAACCCGAAGATTGCCTGTATATAGATAATATTGATGCCCCATAAAACTATAAATTGCATTTACTGAGAGAATCAACATTTACCAGGATTTTTTTTTTATTTTAAATGTATTCAGGTCATAGAACTGGCAAGCCATAATAATTCTTTAGGGATCTCTTGGAACAAAACATATATATATTATTTTCTCTACAAATCACTTTAAAAAGTAACAGAATATTTTTATTTAACCCTATTCATTGATGTGTTAACTTATGCTAATTATAACACAATCTAAGTGGATTTTTACCTTAATAGCAGTGTTAATGTCCTGTATTGCAGCAAAGTTATCGCCCATCTGAAGACAGACCACAGCTCTCCCTTCATAGGCTAGGTGGCACTTTGGATCAATTTCTATGCCAATGGTAAAGTGGTTCCAAGCTTTCTGGAATTTTTCTTGGGCCTAAAATAATTTTCCATTTACATGAAGTGGGAAATTATCCATAACATGACAAATATTTGATTCTAACTAAATCAAATAAAACCTTTAGAAAAGCATTTATTTATACAGAACTAAATATAAGATATTTTAAACAAGAATAGGCTGTAATTACCTCTGAGCATTTACACAGACTTTTTAATTAATTAAAATAAATCTAATAGAGTCATTTCATACCAATCTTGGAAAACATAAGATCACAGCCACCATGTGGGACACATATGCTTTGGACAATCACCACAAAACTGAGCTCTGCATACACAGGCAAGAATTGTATTTATTTGCGTGGCATTTGGAACTCTGGTTTTGCACAATATACATAATAAAATAAATATGTGTTGAATAAATAAATGCACAAACTACTGGTGTAAAACCTATTTTGATAAATTATACAAGCACCTGGAATCACTACACATAGTCCATGGAAAACGCATGCAAATCTGCCTAGCATCTATTTATACTAACCTTAATGACAACTGGAAAACAAGAAAAAAGGTCAGAGAGTGGCATTGTGCACAGAAGAATGTCAGAATATTTCCTAGAGAGGACCAGCTGGCAGCTAAATACTTCCTCGCAGGAAGGCAGTGAGTTGATGAATTCAACATGGTCCAAGGCCTGTCCTTTATTTCTATGGGCTCAAAAACCCAACTGGCCCGAATCTCAGAAGCTGACTCACATAATCAAGGTGAATCCACTGACTCTTGCACAAAACTAATGAGGCATATAACTAGTAAGATATAAGTAATAAGATACTGTTCCTTAATCAGCAAATCTTCTCCCTCTTGGCAAATTATGTGAAATTCACCACCATCATCACAAATTCATTTCGTAACAAGGAATCAGGCAAATGGAGAGTAAGTTATTAGAATGTTAAGCTGCAAACAGCCTCACAGTAGGATTATATCTGTCATCAGCTCCTGACAACATCTGTTTTGCTCACTTCCATATCTCTATTGCTAAGCACACAGTAAGGAAAACTGTATTTGTTGAACAAATGATCACTGTCCCCTGAGGAGGACTTGAACTCTTTCTTTCCTGATTCAATCTTTCCTCATACTAATGTGTGGGGGGTTTTCAGTCCTTTTCCATATTGATATGTATCCAGTGACATCCTCATAAAACATGAATCTGATGTCACTGCTCTAGTTAGTGATACTCACATTTTTAACTATCTGGCAAGTTAAAAGATATTATTCCAGTTATTATTCAATTCTCTAGTCTCTCCCCACAATCCCTAACTTCCCTGGACCCTCCAAATCTCACTATCCTAACTCTGTGTCCTACTCCTAACTCCTAGCCCTGACTAATTACTAGTATTTCACGCCTCAATTTAAATGTTAATTTCTTCAAAAGCCCTCCTTTACTCCTCAAAGCTAGGTTCCCTTGTTATAAATGTTCCTAAAAACCATCCTTTTCCTTTGTTGCACTTATCATGCATAGAACTAAATAAGGAAGAATATGACTACTTGATGCTCATCTCTCCACTATATAGTGAACTCTAAGAAGAATCAAGTATAGTTTGTTATTATTCTATTCCTAGGCTTAGGTAAGTTCTTTCCTATACTATGTGCTCAGTAAATGTTTATTTTTTTTAATGTATTTTTTATTGATTTTTTTACAGAGAGGAAAGGAGAGGGATAGAGAATTAGAAATATCGATGAGAGACTCATCACTCAGCTACCTCTTGCACATCTCCCACTGGGGATGTGCCCGCAACCAATGTACATGCCCTTGACAGGAATCGAACCCAGGACCTTTCAGTCTGCAGGCTGACGCTCTATCCACTGAGTTAAACTGGTTTCGATAGTAAATGCTTATTAAATTCAATAAATGATAATTCATTCCATTGGGTTACAGTTAGCTTTAGATGCTTTGGGAGTCATCATGTACGTCTCTTTAAATTGACTTTGCAAATTTCTACTGTGATTTAATAATGGCTAGTTTTATGTTTAATTCTTAGGAGGCAAGCTTATTTCCCTTATTAGGAAGTTTTTGGCAATATCTCACTATAACCACCAATTCCCACAACCACCTCCAATATTATTCATCTTAAACCAGCCAAACTCACTTATTTTTAAGTGAAAAAATTCAACTTTAATTTCATTTTAATAGAGATTTCTGCAATTTATAGTATTTGAATATACTTCTTTGCCGAGCATTTAAATTTTTGAAATTAAAAGGGATGAAAAGAGAATTTAAGATTATTTAGTTCCTTTTCATGGAGAATACAGCACTTTTAGCACTTTATTTCAAAAAGGTTACTATGTAGGAAATGGACCTCTGTGATCCATCTTCAGCATGGTCAGCTTTTGATGGAATTGGCTGAATTTCCCCAGGGCAAACAGAAAGAAGGGAGGAGGGAAGAGGATACAGGAACAAAGAACTGTGCTTGTGGGCCAGCATCATAATGGAACCCCCCCTCCCCACACTCCTCCCCCCAACCCCAGGTGCCTACCTGGGCTAGACAGGGGGAGGTAAAGGCAGCTAGAGAGGGCCTCAGCCCAATTTTTTTTAAATGGCCCAACGAAAGACAGCAAGACCTAGGCAATGTATGAGGAAACAGGTGACCTGATAGTACTCAGCCAATGAGGAGCTGGAGGAGAGACTGAATAAATAGGCCGTGTTGGCTGCCCCAAGTGTGCCTATACAACAGTGACAGGCACCCACTCTCAATCAAGGATGTATTAAAAGTCTTGTATTCACTATACTTCTGTCTCTGAGGCTGTTATTTGCATTCAAACAGGTGAGCATTTCTCACAATTAACTTATTTTATTAGTGCAAAGAACTTGGTGAGTGCATGGATCAGGACAGAGGGTCCCAAAAAGCACTCGGAGAACTGCTTGGCCGCACACAGAGTCGCACTTTTCCATCTTGCTGGAAGGACAAATGCCTGGTGTCTTGCCTTCCCAGTATGTTCTAATTCACTGCCGTTTAGAAGACGCCCTAAATTCAGAAGTCCCTATACTGTGGTTGTCGGACCCAGTACATGGCTGGAGTCCACTTCAAAACGTTCATACACTGTTTATTCCCTTTAGCTTTCTAAAAGTTTATGAGGTCCAGATATGAACTAACGAAACAAATGTTAGCCAGGTTCTTCTATGTGAAACTCATCAGGCAAATTTTAAAGGTTGTCTATAAATGTGAGATGAAGTAGAAAGGGGTGAAGGTGTAAAAGAAATCAGATTCAAAAGATCCTCATTTCACTAGTACAACAAGTCCCCAGATGGGTTCCCCAGGCAGGGTTGCTGAGAAACTGCTGCAGTGGATACTAATAGAAAGAGAAAGGTAAAATGTTCCTATCCCCATCTCCAGGGAAGAGCCAAATATGTTCTCACTCTTGTCCAAAAGGTGCTTTTGATACTGTTGTATTAATAATAGGAAAGGCACACACACACAAAAGGAGGCCAGACATGCATGTCATTGTACAGCTTCACCAGGAAGCTGCAATGTCACACTCCCGAGGGAACCACTGGCCCATTCCCCACAGGTCACTAGGGGAAGAGGTCCACCAGAGATAGGTGCAAGCCCAGTGAAGTTGGGGTGATACAGGAACGGTACTTGCCTGTCAGTCAAACCTAGAAACAGGGATTGCTGGCCAGAATAGGCAGAGCCACTGCCAGCACATGAAAATCTGGGACACAGAATCCCCTAAACAAAGGCGTTTTCTCTCTTGTTGCTCCAGGCTCCCTCTTGCCCCTCTTGCATTTGCCCATATGGCCCATGGCCATGTGGACCCCACAAGCAATGGACTAATGGACTGCAGCAGGGAGCACAAGTCAAGTTAGCCTGATGCTGGACTGGAGTGAGCAGACATAAATGGAAACTCTGGACATCTGGACACTGGCTCTGATTTCAACGCTGCTGAAACAAGTTACACTTCTATGGCGGACTGGGGGAGAGGGGGCTTTGGAAACTCAGGGATTTAATTCCATGCAAATAAGAAGTTACTTGTTCTCCTGTGCACACCTGAGAAAATTCTTTTTCTCAGGATATTGCAAGAAATCCACTCCTACCAGCAACCAGCAGGGATGAAGACCTCTCCCCACAAGTAACACTTTCATGGCCCAAAATGTTCTTATGTAATATTACCTGCAAATTGTAACCTAAAGAAATTCTGGCTTTTAGGCATATTGGATTGTAATGCAACGCTTTCAGAAACTCCTTCTGTGCTTGTTTGTAGCCTTCACTGTGACCATATTCCATGTAAGAATTTCCCCGTCCAGTGTAAGCATCCACAAAGCAAGGATTGATACTAATAGCCCGTGTGAAGAAAAGGACAGCTTCTTCAAACTCTTTGTTTCTGAAAACAAATAAAATTATTGATGCTTTCTGGTGAGTTACCGAAGTACTTTCCTGTATATAAAATTTTCATAAAGGTTTACATTCACTCTTACAAAAAAGTTTTCACTTTTATTATCCATCATAGGAAGTAAGAACATGATTTCCACATGACCTAAGAAAGGCTGAAGGGGTCTTTGAAGATTGTGGTAAGAGGGAAAGAGGGAGCTAAGAGCCATTTTCATAGCAGAATATACTGGAATAATATTCTAGAGTTCTTTTTTTTTCTCAGAATTATAAAAGGCTGCATGGCATTCCTGAACCTGTTTTTAATAGCTATCTGTGGCCAATATGGGGAGGGGGGAGTATATAGATGGAATACACTTTTTAAAGCAGATTATAATAAATTTATATGTATTTATTATTTCTACACAACAAAAGGAACCAAAATGTTATACATGGGAGTCCTTACTTCAGGTCTATAAAAGTAGGCCCTTTCTTTGTGGACACCAGGAGAGAAGAGAAAAGGAAGAAAAATGCATTTTATTTATTAATTTGTAAATATACTCAACTAAATAATAATTCAGTTTTTCTTCCCTACTTATTCTCTTGTGGTGCAGGTGAGGGCTGGTAAGGGAATCAAATATGTTTCATAAAGGAGTTACTTTTGCATATATAATAATTACATTTCATCTCAATTAGCCTGGAGGAAGCCATTTTTCTACACCTATCTAGTTATCAGCACTAGCATGTAATGAGCATCTAGTCTGTTTCAACTAAGCAAATAATCATTAAACTTTAACACTGGAAAGAGATCTTGAAAATCATCTACCAACACTTCAAATCAGGTGACAACTAAAAATCAGGTCCAGGGGAGGTGACAAATCCAGAGACACCCAGCTCCCTGCATCAACAGGGGAAAAATGATACAAGTGCCACGTAGAAACAACAATTTCATTTTTCTGAAGATGAGTATATCAGAGTGTCCTGTAGATTGAAGCTCTTGTTAAGTGATGACATGGCAGTTAGCAATGAAAAGAGGTATTATGTCAGGATACATGTTCATCAATACACAAAAGTCTTAGGTGTCAGGTACCACAAAAATAAAAGTATGTTAAATTCGTTATTCTAAAATAAGATATGTTTGCGTAAACAATGCGATCACTGACAGAGGAGCATCTTCTCACCAGGGCCCAGCCTTCAGTCGGGACTGTGAGCTGAGCTTGCAGTCTGTGCCACAGACAGAGGCCACCACATTTTCTAAATCAATCACATGAGTGGCCAGATGTGCCCTACTAAGTTGTACAAATAAATCATAAATACCTCCCCAAACTAAAGAAGGTGGCTTGCAGAGTCAAAGTTTCAAAAATATTGTATGCAAATATAAGAATAGGAAAATCAATGTACTGAGGTTAAAAAAAAAAAAAAAGTGGCTAGGATATGTAACTCTGAGTAATCACGCTCTCCCTCTGTGACATTTTTTTTTCATATGAAGATGGCTCTCATAAAGTGATCTAAAAATCAACTGTAGCACAACACTGTTCCTGACCAAATTGGGGAACAAGTAGATATTCAGCCTAAGGAATGTTGTCTCCTAGCAACCACAAGAGTGAGAACCAGAGATATACAAAGGCATACTTCAAAGGTCTGCAACCGCCTAAGTTCAAAGATCAAAGCCCTAAATTTCAAATATTTATTCCTTTTTAAATTGTTTTCCAATTGGGAAAATTTTTACTTTCCCCACTGTAAGATACCAGTAATGAGTCTCCAATACTGAGAAACTGTACTACTATGATATAAGTGTGTTTCAGACTACCTTGAAAAGCAAAATATTTTTCCTGAAATAAATATAGTCAATCACTAAATATTTCTTATTGTTAAATTCAGCAAAACTCAAAACACATGGAAATGGGGCTGTCAGTTATTAGGGCTTTACCGGTAATTTAAATTCTACTTTTATTAAGGGACAATAGAGATTCTAATCAACTGATAAAAGTTGGCTATTTGGAATTGCAAAGCAGTATCAGCTTAAGAAGGCTCCGCCATGTAGTATATCCAGTGATTACAATTCATGAGAGAGATTGGGAACAGACACAGAGAAATTTACTGACTCATTTGCGAAACACAGGAATGAGTTTGGGAGAAATTTTGGAGTCTGTTTTTAATTTAAGAGTATGCAATGACCTCAGACATTTGGGGTCTGTACTCACCCACTAAAGCAAACATATCAGTCATCATTATTCCATCTCTTTTCAAGGATGACAATTACTTAAAGGGATGGATTGTACAAAGGTTGCTGGATTAAAATAGACAATGGTGTGACTGTGTTTTGCCATCTATATAAACTAAGGATCCCAATTTAGGCCTTTAAACCCAAAGACATCTTCACAAATTTCAGTTATTACATTATTATTTTCATAAAATAAAATAAAAATCTAACTTTCATCGGGAAATATAGCTCTGCTATGTCCTAAAAACGAAAAAAAAAATGTTTATTTCCTAAATAATTCAAAATTGGATATTTCTAAAGCTTAGTCTATATTGTTTATGAACTATCCTAATTACCCTTCCAATTAATTGCTATTTTTTCTGTCTTAAAAAATAATACTGTAAACTACTAGTTAACCAAATAAATTTTATCTCACATAAAATCTTCCCATGCTGAATCTCTATACTTTTAAAAGCAAAATGACCAGAAACTAATTTAGATATTGTGTATATGTAGAAATGTAAAACTTATAATTAGTAAAAATCTATGTCAGAACAAATTATAAAGTGATCTTCTGTATTTTAGCTTATGTAACTGTTCTCTTCTCCCCTACTATAACTTGATTTATAGCAGGTAATAATGTTTTAAGTGATATGTTTTTGTAAATTTTATTGTATCTTGCAGATGTTTACTGGTATTATTTTAATTAGTTTTAGATTTAGAATTATGTTTTCTAAATGCAAAATTTTTTGAAAATAATTTTTTGAATCCACCCTCTCGTATAGTTTCCTAGGCTTTTTAAAGGTTAGTTTCATTTTAGGAACAAAATTAATCACTTAATTTTATTCTTAGACATTTCAATCTGTGCATGATTTTATTCTGTGTATCACCCAGATCCTTTTCCCCAGTAAATGGGCTTGAATCAGTGGCACCCAATGCCAGAATACAGGTATATGCATGCAGACTTGGTTAAAATGGCTGATTAGAAGGTCGGAGGGTGCTGATGGCACACCTGGGTGTGCTCCCCACTTCTATGATTCTTTGCCTCTCCCCATTTTTTGTCCCTGTCACTTCCACATTTTCCTCTTTCTAGTCTTCTATTATAATTATTAGATGATCCCACCTGCTTTCACTTCAGCCTAAATTGCATACCTGTGACAGCACATGGCGGTGGCTTGATAAAGGCTCACATTAGTCTTGCTCAGAAAAGCAGCTTGTTTAAAATCCTGAAACAGTTTTATAAATTTTGTTAGTTTTGCACTATCATTCTTTATGCTTTCTTAAACTTCATTCTAGCTTATATTCTACCACGAATATACGTAACACAAGCATTAACAAAGATATCTTAGCCCTAACCGGTTTGGCTCAGTGAATAGAAAGTCAGCCTGCAGACTCAAGGGTCCCAGGTTCGATTCCAGACCAGGGCATGTACCTTGGTTGCAGACACCTCCTCAGTAGGGGGTGTGCAGGAGGCAGCTGATTGATGTTTCTCTCTCATTTCCCTTCTTCTCTGTAAAAAAATCAATAAAACATATATATATTTAAAGATATCTTAAAACTTTTCTTTTTTTCTTTTAGTATCACATCTAGAGAGAATGAATGGAGTAGAGGAAACCCATAACTGAAAATTCACTCAGAATATTGTGCTACTGGACTGCACTTTCCCAGTGGCTTTGCCCTGGTGTGTGTAATGAGATCTCATTTACTTTCTTTTTATTGGTTTTTTTGTTGTTGTTGTTTTCTCAGTTCACACCACCAAAGACTTGCCCATCTAGATAGAAATGGAAATTCTCCTATAGAGAAACTTGGACTGTATAGGGCCAACACACATCTAGACCCAGAAAAGGACATTCATTGGGCCTTCTTTGTGGATCAGCTAAGGCTGCTTCTGGGGAGAAGTGTATCATTTTGCCCAGGTTTCCTTGAATCCTCCTGAGAAGAAACAACGGAAAATCCCAAGATTTTGAGTTAGGAAATGTGGTTGAAATGGCTCTGGGGAAGTGGTTGTTTAAAGAGAATTAAAAGTCTGCAAGAGATCCTGCCTCTGCCGCCCTGAACACTGTCCCCCATTAGGCTCCAGAGTCAGTGTCCAGTGTGCATAAGCTTTTCAAAGACCTACAGAAATGTTGGAGAACTGAGGCAAAATAAGAACATCACTACATTGAAACTAATACGATATTTAGATGACTATCTACATATAAAAATATCATGTAAGTTGCCATGATTCTGCTTTTCCCAAAGCACTGCTTTAGCAGGAACCTTCACTGTAGTCTTGGCTGTAACCTCAGGTGGCCACGCTATAGCAGGAGAGTGCTGTGACCTCCTCTGGGGTGTCAAAGGGAACCCCACCAGCTCCCTCCCTGGAGGCTGGTACCCGCACTCTCCAGACTCAGAGGGCAGGCGTCTGAGTTCTGGTGTCCACCCTGGAGGAAGGAGAGGAGCTCACCATACAGACAGCCTCCCTCTTCCTCCTCCCCCTTCCACAAACCTTCCCTAGCTGTAGCAGAGGGAGGAAGCTGGCTAACTTTCTGCAAACATTGGGAAGGCGGAGGGAGTAGGAGGGTCAAGCAGGGTCACTGGAATCCTATTGGAGGAGGAAGGTTTCAGTCAGAGACCAATCTGTAGATATGGAATCTGCACTTAGGTTCCTGAAGTATATTTTGATACTAAAATGAACTGTTATTGGAAGAAAATAAGAAATCTATTGTCTAATCAAATGTGTAATATAATCAAATATGCTACCAGATAACTCCCCTAAATACTGTGTTATTTACTGATTTTATCCTCACCTGAGGGCATGCTTAGAAAGAGGAAGAGAGAGAGAGAGAGAGAGAGAGAGAGAGAGAGAGAGAGAGAGAGAGAGAGAGCCATCAGTTGTTTCTTTTGGAACATGTCCCAACCAGGGATCAAACCCACAACCTATGCATGTGCCCTGACCAGAAATAGAAGATGCTCAGCCAACTGAGGCAACCTGTCCGGACTAAGAGGACTGTCTTAAAGTGGAGGCAAACTTAGTTGAATTGAGATTTATTACAAATTGAGATTTATTTCCTATTTATTTATCTTGGAAGTTGTGAGGAATGATCAAGAATTTAAAGGACTGAGAATACCAAGTTCAGTTCTGTAATCAGATAAAACTTACAAAAGTCAACCTGACTCTATATGTATAGTTATCAGCAATAAACATGTGATGACTATTCTCATTGCTTAGAACAAAGCTAACTAGTTTTTATGATTTTCCCCTTCTGCATTCAATTGTTTTTCTAATATGAAGATCATAAATAACAAACCACACATAGCCACTCGTACACCAAGCAAATTCCTTATTTGTAAGGACCTTCACCCACATTATCTTTGTGTCAGAAGACAGATTCTTGGCCTGGTTCCTTCTGTCTCCTCTGGAAACTTGCTCCATCATATTCCTGCCTTCTGTGTTTTTAATTCTTGTTTCATACCCCGACCTAACATGCCTTCCCCTCAACCCTCCCTGCCTGCAAACTAAACATGGCCCAGTCTTTCTAGTTTCTTTCAACTCCTTGAAAGCCTAGCTAACACTCACCTTCTCCACAAGCCCCAATTCCATCAACTTCCTATTATTTGTGTTATTTAATGAAGGCCAATTTTATTTTGTCATTTGTACACTGCATTGAAAGACATTTTTTATTTATTTACTTTTATTCTTATCAAAGTAACCCCTGAACAAAGTGTATGGTGTCTAAGACAACTAGAAAATTGACAGTGCTGGTGGCAATCCCCTGTTCTATTTTTCCTTGCCCCTGAGGCTCACTCACTCCCCAAATGCAACTGTTTTTACATCTTGCTGTTATTTACCTTCAAATTTCAAAATAATGTGAGAATTGTCATGTTTAACTTTCCACATAGGAGAGAATTTAGCTATCTTACCCCAGAACTCCACACCTCTCCTTTTCTCCCACCATCCCTAAAAAAAATAGTCTTTATTTTTCCTCTTAAGTGTAATATCCTTGGCTACCCATTCATATTACGTTCGAGGCATTAAAATACAGAATAGGCCGGGACAGGTTTGGCTCAATGGATAGAGCGTCGGCTTGGGGACTGAAGGGTCCCGGGTTCGATTCTGGTCAAGGGCATGTACCTTGGTTGCGGGCATATCCCCAGTAGGGGGTGTGCAAGAGGCAGCTGATCGATGACTCTCTCTCATCGATGTTTCTAACTCTCTATCTCTCTCCCTTCCTCTCTGTATAAAATCAATAAAATATATTTAAAAAAATAAAAAATAAAATACAGAATAGTAGTTTTTTGTGCCTGAACAATCTCTTTTCTACTATCTTCAACCTTGTGGAATTATATCCTTTTTATTCCTTTACTGTCTTCCTGGTAGTTTTTCAAGAGGACACACATGTTCTCCATCCAACCCACTTAACCATTAACTTCCTAAACAATGCCCGTCCAAATGCTGCACTCTGCTTCCTGACCAAGGGTTCCTTGGAAGTCTGTATGAGGATCAGTTACCTAGTATGTTGTCAGCACTCATCCCACTTGACCTCTCTGTTAATCAATCATTCTCACTAAGAAGATTTCCCTACATAAGTGTTAAGACTGCTGTTTCCTGTTTCTTCATCTAGCCATTCTATTATTCAGTCTTATATGTCTTCATTGGTTCTTTCTCATTTTTCTAATTTAATTTTTCAAATATTTTTTATTTACATAAAGGAAACTCATTTTTTTGTTGTTTGTTTGCTATTATTTCTGGGCAGCCAACATCTGAGGCTTGCCTGGCCCTGAGCAGGTGGGTGCTGAGGGAACTACAGGACTCTAGAGGCAGGCACCCCGGTGGGGCTGAGGGGACTGGGCGCCACCATCTTGTGGCTGTGGGCACTGCCATCTTTGAAGGTGTGGCAGTCGATTAGCATATTCCTTCCTTATTGGCTGTGGGCACCACCATCTTTGCTATGGTGTGATGGTCAATTTGCATAAGCCCTTTTTATTAGATGGGATTGTTTTAATTTTCTAATATTCTATTTTAATTAGTCTACATTTTTGTTTTGTTTGTTTGTTTGACTGAGGGGGTCACATTTGAGTAGAAACCTGAAATGAAAGATGAGCATGAGCCACACACAGATTAGTAGGGAGAGCATTCTATGTACAGAGAAGAGCTTATGTGAAGACCCTGGGGTAGGAAGGAAGCCTGGCATTTCCAAGGAAGAGCAAAATGCCAACGTGGAGGGACCTGGGTGCAGAAAAGACAATGTTTGACAATGAAGTCAGATCAATGAGTGACAGTCAGATCATGACGGGTCTTCGTTGGCCATAGTCAACAGTAAAATTTTATTCTAAGTGTGATGGGAAGTCACTGGAGGGCTCTAAGCAGAGGAACAACACAGTCTGCTTTATGTTTTTAAGGGGTCTGTCTGCTGTTGTTTGAAGAACAGCATGTAGAGACAGGGACAACAGCAGAAGCAGAGAGGCCAGTTGGGAAGCTCCTGATCTAGTCCAGGGGAAAGATGCTTGAGGATGGAATTAGAAAAACAGTGGCAAAAAAAAATGAGAAACTGCATTCAAAACATGGTTTGATGGCAAAGCCTACTGAACTGTTGGATGTAGGATGTGAGGGAAAAAAGGGGTCAAGAATGATTTCGGATAGACCATGAGCTCCTCAAGGACAGGAAATCTGCCTTATTTATCTCCACACCTTCAATACACAGGATTTGGAATCAGGTGAGACCTGAGATCAAATCATACTCTAGCACTTCCTGGATAAAAGACCATTTCACCTCTTTCGAATATCAGTTTCCTCATCTGTAAGTTGCAATTATAAATTGTGCAGCATTGTTGAGAACCTGGTATGTTGATATTAAACACCAAATAAATATGTGCCATATAGGTAATATAGGCCCTGCATTTAATTCTCCAGCAGCTGAGGTCTTTTGCTCCCAACCCCCCCAACACCCTCACCCCCATTTTCCTCACTTCTCTACTCCCAACACTGTTCCTTAGAGTTCCGTGGCTTTCTTGCCTACTCCTGAGAAGTTCTTTAGTTCCCGCTACCTGAGGAAATTCCAAACGGTGTAACCTAAACCTAAAGGAGTTCAACTCTTGGAATTACATTTCATCATAGTGTAAATTGCTTAGAATATGGTTTCTCAGACACTTCCTTAATACACTGTGGACCAATAATTTTACTGCTAGCTTTACTCAGTGGCCAGATAAGTTTCTATTGAACAAGTACAAAAAATGTTATACATAAATGTTAAAGGCATGCTTTAAAATTAAATACCCATTGCATTTTGATATTATTTATTACATATTGTTACAAGCCATTATCTTTTTAAAGTATGATACTTTGTAAAACAGTGTCATATGAAGCGAGAATTCTCGTGATCCGTCCGCAAAAATAATAATAAGTAATTCTGTGGGGCAGAACCTCAAAATATGACTCCAAGGGTAGAAAAATAACACAAGTCACTTTTGGAGATGAAAAGAACCAAGAAACACTCCATTACATAATGTTCTGTTGTGGTTCCTCAGAAACAAAGAAGCAAAGCTACCATTATTCAACTGCAAACTTTGATTTGTCTTGTATTTCTTAATCTTAACTCCAAAGTTAATTTTAAAAAACAAACAATACAAATAAGATCAAAGTTAGATGGTAAGTTTTGTCTAATTGTTCTACAAAGAAATGCATTTTTTAACCAAAGAAACCATGTATCTTTGTGATATATTGCAGATGCTATCTCTACTACAATCCTGAGTGCCTGCTCCCTCCATTCTCAGTAGCCTATTCTGAACAGGTATATTCTACTCTATACAAAACAATCTTATTTAGTTTATATATTTTCAAGAGACTGAGGAAAATTATAAATGAGAGAGAGCATCAAGCAGCAAAGTAAACAATATATAAATCATTTCATTTGCTAAACAACTGAATATTTTATAGCCAAGATAATCCCTTGGGGTTAGTGACAGTCTTGAACTTTCACCAAATTAGAAACTTCTTTAAAAATATATTGGCTATTTGCCTGTAATCAAAACTAAGTAAAAATACGCATGTTTTACAAAAATTCTATTAGTCATTCAGAGTATTTCAATATGATTATTGCTAAAGTTTAGTTATTGCTCATTAATATTGACATTAATGTAGTAAGAAAAACTTGTTCACTATTTTCAGAAGTGAACATGAAAAATCAAGTGAGTTCAGGTTTACCTCTAGTGCAAAATGGTGATGCCCTTGTCCTAAGTAGATGAGTCCACGATTAACTAAGGTATTGAATGCCACAGTTTTTGCAGGATCAAGAAGAAGCACGATGCCATAATCTATTAATGCCTAAAAATAAAAGGAAGCGCTTACAACCTGGATTCAACTCTTGAGAGCCTTGCTCCATTGTCCAAGGAAAAATGTGTTAATGCCCAGAGTAGAAACCCATAGTTAGTATTTAATTTGACTTACAATTTATGGCCCTGAATGGTCATTTGTTGAATGAAAAGGGGCCCTTAGCTAAATATTTGACTGCTGCTGCATTTTAAGATGCGGGCTGCACTTCACGAGTTCTGGTGAAGCATCCCGAGCATTTCCGTTGTGATCGGGCAGAAGAGGCACACCACGCACCGCCCCCATGCAGCAGTTCCCCCACAGAACTGCCCACATTAAAGCAGAGCACTTGTCATTGGACATTTAAGTTCTTTTTAGTATGTGATTGTTTTTCTCCCAGAAACCTAAGCTTTCTGGAGGCAGAGCTTATCCTTATTTTTCACCATCACAATATCAGTAAGTAGCACTGTGCCTGCACATAGTAGGCGTCAATAACTGATTGTTGAGAGAATAAATCATAAATCAATGTAAATGGGTCTTAATATAACAAAGAAGCCTGTTGGAAAATTACTTAGATATATTAGGTTGTTGTTGTTTTTTTGTTTTTTGTTTTTAAGACATTCATCTCACTTGAGAATTAACTCAGAGAATCTTTCTCTATTACCTTTTTATTTCATTCATTGAATAAACAATTTTTTACTGGTCATCGTTCTGCATCAGGTAACAGGACCATCCCAAATTTGAGTTGGAGCTGAATCTCTTACCTCATTTTTTGACTGAACATTTTGTCCAAAAGAGCCATATAAATTTCATCAGAAAAGGGCCAGAACTTACATGCCTATAGCACGTGCTAACTGAAAATGCAAATACATAGTATTTTGTGTTTGCTCAGTGCTGCTCTAGTATTTCATGATTAGGCACTAGTGTCTAAAAGAATTGAAGAGTTATATACATTGTGGCATAATTAATAACATACATTGCCAGGGCTGTAAAAATAATTCATAATACTTATAAAAACAAAACTAAAATGTTAGCACTTTTGCTTTTATAGAATCACAGAATGTAAAACCTTTAGGATGCCTCAAGATCCACTAGACAGGTGGATAGGTGACACAAGAAGAAACAAGAGCTATAAAATTAGTTTCATGAAGGTTAATGAGCAGGATTTGTAACATGCCTCTGCTGTTATTACTAGCTTTTTAGTCTCGGGTAAGTTACTAGCTTCAGTTTCCTCACCTGCAAAATTGGGATATCAATAATTCATCATATTGTGGCACAAATAAGTTTTGATGATATATGGATAAAACGTTTAGCCCAGTACCCCACACACAATTAGCTCTAAGTAAGTGGTAACTGTTATTACTTTTATTAAGGTAATAGGAATCAGAATTCACCTGTTCTTAATTTTTTTAAGAAACCGTATCTTAAGAGAATGTCTAAGTGCGTTTTCTCCAGAAAGATACTTGGGTTTTCTCAGTGTAGTGCTGGCAGCCATGCTGAAAAACGAGTGAAGGTAGACTTGAAGGGAGGAGGTAGAGAAAAAGGGAGGAGGCGACACTGTTAAATGGCATCCGTTCCTTGTGCTGGAGGTCAAATGTTTTCACAAAGCCACTTACAGCCTGTTAGCCAGAAACAAACAAACCTGTGAACAGCAGCACAGGCCTGTACTCCCTTGTGTGACTTGGATGTGTTTCTAACCTCTCCCACATTCCATGTCCTCATCTGCAAAATGAGTGTCTGGACAAAATGGGTTGGGTACAAGGCAGCTCCAAAATCGCCAAGATAACTTTTCCTAGTAGGTAGGTGTCTATGTAGGTAGGTTTTTCACTTTCTTTATTCAGAGTGTGGGGCTCCCATTACTTATCAGAGCCAACAAAAATGGGAGTTCCCTGCCCCCACCCAGCCCATTGTTTATGGCTTCAGAGTTACCCAGAAAAGGCAGGAATGGAGGTGGGGAGGAAGTCATCAAAGATACCTGCAGTGCAGGTTACTCTGATAAATGAGCCCTTAATTAGTCCTATAATCTTAACAACCCCTTTGTTAAAAATTATTCATTTATCAGTGGTTTTGGAGGAAACCTGACCCTCTGGTTACCAGGAATTCTACAGACTTTGAGAAACAATGTTTCTCAACTTCCTTCCATAGCAAATAAATTTCAAAATCTCTAAATGTTTGAAACAGATTTGACTGCCCATGTTTCCAGGACATCGGTGAGCATGTCCAACAGCTGGCATGTGACCTCGGCTACCGAAGGAATGCCTCAGTGGCTGTGGACCTGGATAGAAATAAGGAGGGGAGACAAAAGGACAACAGAGGAAGAGAAACCAGGGGAGGGGACATAACACTAAGAAGACCACAGACCAGCTGCTGCCCAGTGAGGAATCTTGACTGGAAAAAAGACCAAACAGACAAAGAAACGGAGGAAGAGGAGAAAGATTAGAAAAATCTAAAAAAATGGCTTGCACAGGTAGCAATACAAGGCAAATAGGGGAAAAGAATTGCTGCAGCCATCAGCTAGGCCTGCAAAAAGCACAGCAGTACTTGTCACTGGTCACTGGTCCCCATAACTGGAAACCATCATTCAAAACTACGGCATCTGTGGCCTGAACACTGTGCAAAAAATACCTCAGCAAATTCTGAAGTAACAGTATTGCTAACAATCACTGCTTAAAAATACTGCAAACAATGTATAAGTAGAAACATTTACCCTAATGAGAATTATGTAATGTATCTTAATTTATACATGACTTTAAATGCTTTTGTAAACATTATAAAATCAATTTTTTGTGTGACACTGCTGAGATTGTGTAAGACAATTTTGTGAGCACTATAAAAATAATGTCTTTTGAAATGGTTTTTTTGGATTCTCAAGTTTTGTGTGTGTGTGTGAAATGATTTTTTTGGATTCTCAAGTTTTGTGTGTGTGTGTGTGTGTGTGTGTGTGTGTGTGCATGTGGTATGTGCATATTTTCAAAAGAATTATTTTTCAAAATTACAACAGAGATAATAAAAAATATTTTACTCGTGTTTTACGTATGTTTACAAATACTTTAACATTTGGTCATCTTACCATCTGAAGTTCGCCTATCTTGGTGTAACACAATGCTCTGTTATAAAATGCTACATAACTGTTTTTGTCCATGTTGATAGCGGTAGTTAAATCTGTAATCGCTAGCTTACAGGTCTACAAAGGAAAAAATAATTAGGTGAGAAGGGTTAGTCATAATGGACTGACATTTAATTGTAAAAAAAATTATTGATTCTATCAGACTTTTTGGAACACTCTGTGCAGCATCTGTGATATTAAGACAATCAAGCTCATCTTTCACCAAGTTAATTAAGAAAATCTCTCAGTAGGAATTATTATTGTAGTTTCTGTTACTTGCAAATAAAATTAAATATATTAAGAATTTTAATTTAGATTATTATCTTATCGCCAATGTTGAGAAAATTACACTTCTTATTGGTAAAAGAGAAGCAAGTCATGTTCCTCCAGTAAACATCCACCAGAGCATGCTTGCTTCTGTCATTCATACTGTCAGATCCCTAACCGTCATGTTTTCTACCTACACTCTCCTTTGCTTCCTCTTTGATGCTTCTCTAATACCTTATGTCATCCGTTTCTATAGATAGTAATTTTCATGGAATTAATACATAATACAAGGTCTTACTTTCGCTTTAAGGCATTATTTGCAAAATATTTCATATGAAATAGCTACAAAAAAGGTTCAGAAAAGAAAAGTAAGAAAAATAAAGTATTCCATGAAGCATTGGATATCAGTGCTACTACTCACACCTTTTGACCTACTAACTTCTCTTTAGGAATAAACTATAAATTCAAGCAATGACTCGGTTCTCAGTGTGTATACTAGTAACTGTAATGTGTAAAATAGTGAAAAAAATTAAAAACTCAAATGTCCAACAATCAAGTGATAAAAAATAAACTATGATAGAATATTCTTCAGTCATTGAAAATGGTATCCTCAAAGGTTAAGTGTGAGAAGCAGGGCACAATACAAATTAGATAAGTAGCATAATCCCACTTTGGAAAATATATTCCATATATTATTAGAATAAAAAAAGACAATGCAAATACATCAAATGCTCTCAGAAATCTTCAGTTGGTGGTGAGATAATAGGTGACTTTAGTCTTCTTTATTCCCTCTTTGTATTTCCAAATTCTTTACAATGAATAATATGTTACTTTCTAAATAATGTGTTATTTAAAATGTAAATGTCCAAAAACAAAAAACAAAAAAAAACCCCACTATTTTGTAAGCCTTTTGATGTACTGTGGAAGTGTAAGGTGTCCCATGCAGCTTTGCCCTTAACACTGTGCTGATACTTAGTTCAAGAATTAAAAAAAGGAAGTGCGTCCCTACTGGCATCTAAGCATCACTCACTCTGTTTTCTGTAAACAAGACAGGAAGTCACCTACCCTGTTGTGGTATTTGAGAACACCTCTGTAGATGTAAGCTCGCACACTCTGAGGATAAATTTTGATGGCCTCGTTACAGTTCAAGATTGCTTTGGAGTATCTGCCTTTCAACCCATAGAAGGCTACTCGGTTTAAATATGCCTTTTCAGAGAAAGAGAAGAGGAAAACAGGAATGTGTGTTATAGTGAAAGCATTAATTATACCAAAAGATAGGATACTTTGAACAAATCTATACCACCCAAAGATGTTATAAAATGTAGGATTTTTCCAAACATACAGAATAATTGAAATAGTACAATGAACATCCATATACCTACCACTTAGATTAAATAATTATTAATATATTTGCAATATTTATTGCATCAACTTTTCCCTGAACTATTAAAAAATATGTTATAGACATTGTGACAATTCACCACAGCTCTCCAGTATGCATCTCTTCTGAAGAAGACATTTTTTTTGTACAACCACACTACCATAATAAGAACATTAATAGTATTTCACTAAAAAGATTTAATATTTGTTCCATATTTAAAATTTATAGACTTTTAAAATCAGGATCCAATAAAACTTCATTTATTAAATTTTGTGTTATCTGTTTAGTCTCTTAAAAGTAAGAAATAAATGCAATAGCAAAACAAGATAAATAAAATTAATAATATAGTATATAAAATTATAATTAGTAATAGATACATTAAAAGGTTAACAATATTTATATACATCACAATTTATAAAACACTTACATATGTAATATTCCTATTGGAGATAATATTTTTAGTTCAAAGGGAAAAACAGATATATGCATTATTAAAACAATTATATGAAAAGTAAGTATAAGTAATCAATTGTTGCTACTAATAACAATGGCATATGAAGGATTTAATAGTTTTAGCAAATCTATAACAACTTCTCTAAATCACCAGAACTGTTCATTTAAATACCTCATAATGCTGTGGATTGAACGTAATTGCACGGTTAAAATCCAGGATTGAGCTATCCCTCTGGAGTTTTATTTTACAAAGCCCTCGTTGGTGGAAGCCTTCTGCAAAACTGGGATTTATTTTCACAGCTTTGCTAAAATAATCAAAAGCCTAGAAGAGCATATTGTTACAACACAAATGGTTTAATAAGCAGAATTTGTTAATTTATAATGCTAATAAATTATAGTATAGCTGCTATTGAAAGTTTTCCATCTTTTTCTGGTCATTTTAAATACATTTTTCCCAGTGAAACTTGTGGAGCAAACAGAAGTAATACTTATTAACTAGTCAGGTTTAGTATTATAATTTACTAGCCCCTTATTCCCAGATTAATGTTCACATAGTCCACGTTGTTAGATTTCAATAATTTTGCGTGTAAATTTAATCATTATTCTTCATATTGTGTTCCTTCAAAGAAGTCACAACCAGCACACTTGTTTTCCAGGAGGGCCCAAACATTTCATAGCAGATGCATAGCTATGAAATTTGAGAATGATAGAACTCCAAATTTTCCCCAACATAGTAGAGCAAAGTTAGTTTTAATGCTGGTTGAAAGGGTTAAAATCATGGAAAAAAATTGTAATTAATCTTATTAGAATTTCTTAATAGAACAATTAATCAGGTGCAACTCTGTTTCAAGGTTTGAGATGCAAATTTTAGACACTGTCCACTCCTATGAATATAAGGATAGGAATGGTGTGTGTGTGTGTGTGTGTGTGTGTGTAAAGATACAGTTGTGAAATATTCAACATTAGCCATTAGAAAATAACACTTATTTTACATATTGGACAATTTTGAAATGGAGACTTCTGTAAAATAGCCAAATATTAGATAAGTATGTAAATATTGACTCAACTGGTTTTCAATGATATCCTGGCTATCTAAGTAACCAGTTTCAATCTTTGAATTTTTAGTCATCATTAAGAGAAATTAGTGTGCTAATATTTTCCATTTATTCTACATTAGAATGAATCACTCAATTTAAAGTACTTAAATTTAATAGGTAAATTTATATTAATGTGATGAAATTATTTTGCTATAATAATTTCTTACAGTTAGATTGTTTGGGTGAAAAACATACATTAGTCTTTACAATACTATTGACAAATAAGCATCAAATAAAACAAACATGTTGGGTAAATAAAACAATGCAGTAGGTGTTGCAGGATGCATATTGTCTGTAACAAGCCACGCCTTATAAGAAGCATTGGTCTACTGTATTGGTCACTTCCTGTAGAAGTAACCTTCAGAAATAGAACTAAATGCAATCATTTTCTAAAAGTAAGCTAAGTTCCTAAATATATAAAATACCGTTTGGAAGTTGCCTTCATCCATGTAACAAAGACCCAAGTTATACAGACAGTCCACTGACGCCTCTAAGGCATTCGATCCTTTCTCATTCGGATGACAACAGAGATCCAAAACCTTTTTAAACAGTCTCATAGCTTCCTACAAGGTGAAAAGAGAGAGAGGGCTGAGAATGTTTCTTTCTACTGCTTACTTAACATGACAGTAAAACCTCAAACGTTAAAAGGAATCCTGAGCACATAGCCCTCCTCACAGACAGATCTTGTCCATACACAGCAAGAAGACCATTCCCTGTCTGATCTCAGCACATCCCACAAAGTGCCTACCCTAGAGCCAGTGCTTAAGCAGGCTCTACATGAGGAGTTTAGAAACTTAGAAACTACATTTCCTAAATTATAAAGATTATTTTTTTGAAGTCTTAAATTAAACTTAAAGTTGTAGACTAATTTATGACCAATTTCCTATAATTTTCCTGAAAGGAATACTGGGCAGCTTTTAGGTAGTAGAAAATCTCCAATGATAATATCTAATGTGATTTTAACCAACCTTTGTTTTGTCCTGCTGTGCTGTTAATAGAGTTTCATTGACATCAGAAAATAACATAAAAAATAACCCATTTAAACTAATCAAAATACTTGAAAGGCTTTAATGAAAAATATTCAAATTTTCAGATAGAAATGTCTTTCAAATTAGCTAATTGCAGTACATCTATATAGAAACAAAAAAAACCTGTGACCTTTTAGCCCATTTTCTTAATTCTATTACATTGCAAAAGAAATAATGAGCTTTAATTTGGATATGCTAAGTGCTCATTTAAAAATTTTAGCATTTTCTCCACATGTTTATATCCCACCACAGCATCCATTTTTCCATCCCTACTCTTAGCACTTGACCTAGACATAAGAAAAATCATCACCTCAATTTCCTCCTTTTAACTTTTCATGTATCTATCCCTTTCTTCATTTCCATCTTTTTCTCTTCTGTCTTGGAATAATTTCCTTTCTTCATCTTTTCAGATCCCATCTGCCTGACCTGAGTACAACCTGTAATGTCCTTCCTCTTTTGGATCTCTGCCCCTTCACTGTCTCCGTGAGTCCATAAAACTTCCTTCTCATTTAAATGTAAAAGAATACATCTTCACCTCCTCCTGCTTTCTCCTTTAGCTCAGCGTTTTTCAACCGCTGTTCCGCGGCACACTAGTGTGCCACGAGATGTTGCCTGGTGTGCCGTAGGTGCAGACAAGACAAGAATTTTATAATTTTTCACTATTTTGTTTACTTAATATTTCATAATAAAGTAATTATAAAATACTTTCTTTGTGTTTATTTGATTCCTATTCAAGAGAATTACTTTATATATAGTCAATATAGGCACAGAGTTAAATTTTTTTAACATTTTCTAATGGTGGTGTGCCTCGTGATTTTTTTCATGAAACAAGTGTGCCTTTGCCCAAAAAAGGTTGAAAAACACTGCTTTAGCTGATGTCCATTTCTCTCTCACTGCTCTGAAAAGTCTCTTCAGTAGCTCTTATGGGCTTGCAGGTAAGGCATATTTATTTACATTCTGAAAACAGCACTACAGCTGTTGTGTAGATAAACACTTGAAAGGGTGCGACACTGTTGTTATAATTCAAGCAAAATAACACCTAAGGCTGGGCATTGGGGGATAAATGGGGAAACTGTAAGGGAAGAAAGCATAGCTGGCCCGCAGATGCAGCCCTGCAGCCAAAAGTTCACAACTCAACTGTGAGTGAGCATGCAGCCTGGCTAGGAAAGGGAAGAAAACTGGTGGTAGCAGGCACTTCCTTCCGCAGGAGGAACAGAGAGCTGCTGAAAGGCATCCCAGCAGGGCGAACTTCAAATTTCAAGAGGCCAGAGAACAGTGTCCAAGTCATGCCCGTGAGCAGTGACAGTGAGCAGTGATCACAGAGTGAACAGGCTCCCAAAACTCACCGCCCATTGTCCTTGGAATTGGTTCCAGGAGTTTATTATCTGTAAACCGAGAACTGTTGCAGTAGAACTGCTGTTTCTGTGACTGATCTGGGGGGAGGGGGGGGATTAAGGGGAGGAAGGGAGGGAGCAGAGATTGGGGCAAAACCCATAGAGGTCAGGGGTGGGCAAACCCTACTCCCAAGCAGCATGTGGATACTGTCCTATGGAAGCCTCCAAGGCTCAAATCTGGGAGACCACAGATATAAAAATCTTGCGACTCATTGCCATCTACTGGAATAGTAGAAAGACCTCTTTAGAGATAAATGTGAAAACAAAGGAGGACAGCAAATGCCATGAAGAACCAGTTATGACGATGACCAGAAAGAAAATAAAAAATCCCCAGAAAGCAAACTTGAAAAAGTGCAGATTTCAAGACTGCTGTTCTGAAAATACTCTAAGAAATGCAAGAAAATACTGATAGGTAATTCAGCGCACTCAGAAAATAAATAAATAAACAAAATGAGTACTTTGCCAAAAGAAATGAAACTTTAAAAAATAATCAATCAGCCGAAACAGGTTTGGCTCAGTGGATAGAGTGTCGGTCTGTGGACTGAAAGGTCCCAGGTTCGATTCCGGTCAAGAGCATGTACATTGGTTGCAGGCACATCCCCAGTAGAGGGGTGCAGGAGGCAGCTGATCGATGTTTCTCTTTCATCGACGTTTCTAGCTCTCATTCCCTCTCCCTTCCTCTCTGTGGAAAATCAATAAAATATATTTTAAAATAATCAATCAGAAATCCTGGAAATGAAGCATGCAACTAAGATTAAAGAGTAAACTGTTGAGCATAGAAAACAGAACCAAACAATTAGAGGAAAAAATTAGTGATATCAGAACTAGGAATCAAAAAATGATGAAGAGGGGAAAGAGAGAGACCTGAGAATACAGAAAAATGAAAGAGCTCTATGAGACCTCTCTGACTCCATCAACAGAAGCAATATCGGAATCATAGACAATGTGGAAGAGGAAGAAAGGGAGCATGGAATGGAGAGTCTATTAAAACCAATAGTGGATGAGAACTTCCCAATATATGGAAAGAACTAGATCCTTGAATCCAAGAAGCAAACAGAGCGCCTAGTTACCTCAGTTGAAAGAGATCCTCTCCAAGGCACTTGATAATGAAGCTGTCAAAATTAATGACAAAGGAAAAATTCACAAAGCAGCCAGGGTAAAAAAAAAAGGAAGTGACCTACAAAGGAAACCCCATCTGATTTTATTCAACTTCTTAGCAGAAACTCTATAAACCAGAAGAGAATAGCAGCAAATATTCAAACTTCTGAAAGAAATTACCAGCTATACATACTACAATATATCCTTTAAATATGAAAGAGAAATAAAGATGTCCCCATACATACAGAAGCTGAGGCATTTTATCATTTAAAAAAACTCCATTGCAGGAAATATTCAAGAGAGTTATTCTATCTGAAACTAAAATCATAGGTTACAACACTATGAGGAAGATCACAAAAAAAAAAACTTACAGCATAAACAGAGATAATTTGTGACAACAAAAACATACAACATGCACTCATGTTGGAAAAAAACAAAACTATAGTATATGAAATTTTATTCCTTACAAATCTAATGTCAACCACACACAAAAGTCCCCAAACCAGGTCATATTGCTTTAAAATAGAGAAAACAAAAGAAATATGTATGGAACACCATCAAACAGAAACAACAGTCATAAACATACAGGAAAAGAACCAATGGAAGCACAGAGCTACCAGAAAACAAAAGATAAAATGATGATAAGAAATCCTCATCTATACTAATAAAAGCCTAGGTGGCCCTTGCAAAACACCTTCACATCATCACAAGATGGCTGCCACAAGATGGCCACCAGAGGAGGGCAGTTGTGGACGATCGGGCTGGCGGGGGATGAGGGGGGGCCACTTGGGGGTGATCGGGTTGGCAGGGGAGCAGTTAGGCATCAATCAGACCAGCAGGGGAGTGGTTAGGGGGCAATCAGGCTGGCAGGCAAAAGTGGTTAGGTGCAAACAGGCAGGCAGACAGGTGAGCTGTTAGGAGTCAGCGGTCCTGGATTGTGAGAATGATGTCCAAAACTGGCAGTCGGACATCCCCCAAAGGGTCCCAGATTGGAGAGGATGCAGGCTGGGCTGAGGGACACCGCCCCCCCCCCCTGCAAGAATTTTATGCTCTGGGCCTCTAGTACATCAATAATTACCCTAAGTGTAAGTGATCTGAGTTTACCAATAAAGAGACACAGAATAGCAGAATGGATTTAAAAACAATACCCAACCATATGCTGCCTACAAAAGATACATTTAAGCAACAAAGACAAAGATAGATTCAAAGGAAAAGGCTGGAAAATAATTCTCCAAGCAAATAACGTCCACAAAAAAAGCAGGTGGTAGATCTCAAGATAACGAGACAAATATGGACACTTTATAATGGCAGAGGGGACACTACATCAAGAAAACATAACACTTCCTAACATATGCACCCAACCAGGTAGCACCAAAATATATAAAACAACTACAGGAATAAAGAGAGAAACATATCAAAACACAATCATAGTTGGGGACCTTAATATTCCATTGACAGTTCTAAACAGATCAACCAAACAAAAAAATCTATAAAGAAATATTGGCCTTAAATGACACAGTAGACCAACTGACTTTTACAAAACATTACATCCCAGAACATCAGATTTTACATTTTTTCCACTGCACATGGAACATCTCAAGGATAGACCATATGTTGGGTCACAGAACTAACATCAACAAATTCAAAGATTGAAATTATACCAAGCATATTTTTCAGACCACAATGAATTGAAATTACAAATCCTCTGCAAAAGGGAAGTAAAGAACCTCACAAATATGTGGAAATTGAACAACATACTACTAAAAAATGACTAAATCAAAGAAGAAATAAAAGATGAGATCAAGTGATATATAGAGACAAATGAGAATGATAACATAACATATCAAAACCCTGGGATACAGCTAAAGAAGTAATAAGAGAAATTTATATCATCCCAGGCCTATCTCAAGAAGCAAGAGAAATCCCAAGTAAACAGCTTAATATTACATCTTAAAGTACTAGCAAAAGGAGAACAAAAGCAACCAAAGTCAGCAGAAGAAAGGAAATAATAAAAATTAGAGCAGAATTAAATGAAATAGAGAA